GGGGCGCAGAGGCTGCAGGGGCAGGGGGTGCAGGGGCAGGGCAGGCAGGGGCATAGAGGCTGCAGGGGCAGGGGGTGCAGGGGCAGGGCAGGCAGGGGGCGCAGAGGCTGCAGGGCGAGTGGGGAGCAGGGGGCACAGAGGCTGCAGGGGCGGGGGGGTGCAGAGGCTGCAGGGTGAGGAGGAGCAGGGCAGGCAAGGGCATAGGGGCTGCGGGGCGAGTGGGGAGCAGGGAAGCACTTAGCAACCCCCAACCAAGATCAGAGCGGGAGGGAGGAGGGGGAATGCAGGGTGCTCAGAGGAGGGGGCAGAGTTGGGGCAGGGACTTTGGGGAAGGGGTTGGAATGGGGGCGGAGAAGGGGTGGGGTTGGGGCGGGGCCGGGGGCGGGGAAGGGGCGGAGTTGGGGCAGGGCCGGGGGCGGGACCGGGGCCCCGTGGAGTGTCCTCTTTTTTAAATGTTTGAATATGGTAACCCTAACCAAAACCATCTAACTCCTTTGCTCTTATTTGCTTTCTGCTTCCTTTGGATTTATTAGGTGTGCCTAGGGCCAGTAAGAGATGAAAGCAGCCAATGTGTGGGACTGTTTTTACAAGATGACCCATGATAACAAAAAAGAAATGTTCTGATGGAAAAAATCTCAATATCTTCCAGGTTTGCCCCTTAGTCTAGGGTGCAATTGTTTTCAATCCTTCTCATTTGTGGAACAAGCAGCACCCCTACCGACCTCTGCCAATGCACTTGAGTCCTGACCTATAGCCCCCCTGCTATTTCAACTCTGGAAAATCCACACAGTTCTGCCAATGCTGCTCAGTCTATTTACTCTAGTACTACAGCTTCCCCTGCTGCAGCAGTTCTAAACCCCTTGCCCTTCACAGCTCTGCCAAGGTACCTTAATCACGACCTGCAGCATCCCTATTGTTCTAGTCCTGGGCTCCTCTTGAGCAGAGACTTCTATCTATGCAGGATTGTTTAGTGGTGGGGAAAAGGTCCAATAACTCCTTCTCTTCAAACCTAAAGCTATGTTTGAAAGCTGATAAGCCCTGTGCATCTGCTCACTGCGCCTCTTAATCATTTCACAACAAATCCAATTAAGGAACTTATTAAAAAATGATTTCAGGAAAGCTGAAAACACAATTGTAATTACTTCTCCATGACAAACACACTTTACCTTTCTGGTTAAAAAGGATTTTTAGCTCTAACTAGAATATAGTGGTCAACACAGGATGAAACTCAGATTCATTGAGAAAAGGGATCAAGATAGTTAAAACAATAACTTATCTGTGATAAAGATACGCACGGATGTGTGATGTGCCTAAAATGACTGAATGGGACCTGGATCCGGTCTCTCAGCTCCTGAGCCCAGCGCAAAGCCCCAGCTACCAAGGACATGTTCCTGTGCACGGGGGGGTAGCCTGGATGAAGACAAATATAACTTAAAGTGAGGATTTGAAGGTATTTACTACTCAGCTCTGCACTGTATATCATCCCCAACAGCAGAGATCCCACTGACGATAACATGTCTATTTAACATTCCCCTGATTTCCTAGGATTTCTCTTTGAACCGAGCATTCTGGAATCATGATATAATCCTGGAGCAAAGGCAGGTTTTAACTGCCTACTTGATGGGGGATCCCAGCCAAGGTCAGTCTCAATCTCTTTGCTCTGCTTTGTGAGTCATTAATGACTTTGGGAACAACGCCTCACAGCAAAGTCAACAGGTCCTGAAAGAATTGCAGCAGCATCTGGCAAGGCAAGTTAATGGCATGTTGTGATTCTGTGTAACACTAGTGCCTCATGGAACATACTGTCTTTGATTAAATGGGTTGCCTGATCCCCTGCCTTGCAGAACCAGTGCACTCCAGACTAAGAAATCTGCAAAGCTTGCCAGTGCCTGAGGACCTCACCGTGCCGTCAGTCAGGACACAATAGCAGTAGTGGTGTTGCTGGGAGCTGTGTGTGCAGAGCAAGAGCAGCACAGAGCTAAGAATGTTCACATCTTTTACACGATTCAACAAAATATTTCTACTGACTTAGAACAACTTGCAAAGCAAACATGGCCAGTGATGTCCTGGCCCCATTAACATCAATGAGAGTTTTGCTGTTTACTTCAAACAAGCCAGGATTTCACCTCACATATTTAACCTAGTGCCAAATAACCTTTTTCGCCTGACTCTTTCAAGAAGTTTAGGATGATTTATTACATCTTTGCAATCATCAAACTAGGAGTGGCAAGGACATAGTGTAAAAATACACAGTGCTTCTAACTCGCACACCTTTAAATGTGTTTACTTAAGATTAAAATATTTTAAGCCATAAATATTTTCAACCACAGAGCATTAAAAGCAGAATAAAACAATAATTGTAGTACCAATATAGTGGAGCCCACACTGACACAATGTGGATCATGGTCCCCGTCTAGTGGCAGCCCATATATAGACAGGGTCGTGAGTCAGTTTCAGCAGCTGAGTTACAGAGCCTGCTTCTTTATCTCAGGCACTAAAAGCTCATACTTTAAAGTCCTGAGGTCCAGGTTCATTCTCTGCAGGTAGTGTGATCTGGGCATCATTCAAATAGCTAGTGTTTGATTCTGATAATTTGATAGGAGCCTGTCTTTTCCGTCCTGTGTCAGTGTTCATGGATTGAGTAAACCCATAGTTAAGACTTTCTGCTAATGCACTTTGCATTTACAGGTTTCAGGGGAAGCGCTGGAAACTCACATCCAGCCAGTGTACAAGTCTCTCTGTTCAGACATGCAAGTCCCATTAACTAGCAGAGGCAGTTACATGAGCATGTGGTTATGGGAGAAACTCCTTCCTCTCACAGGCTAGTTGGATGTAAAACTAAGCATGTGTTACCAATCTCAATTTCAGGTAAAGTGGATAAAAAAAATCATGATTTTAAAAAGAATCTGATGACTTTTAAAACAAATTTGAATCAGTTTTTTTTAATTCAATTAGATTTTTATTTATATGTGCTAGTTCTTTAATTTCTTCTCATTTTGTAGGCCTTGGCTGATAAAGTGATGCTTTTCAGAGTTGGTCAAAAAATTTCCACTGAAACCTTTTTGCAATGGAAAATGACTTTTTGACAAAACAATTTTTTTTCCAAAACATTTTTGCTTTCATCAAAAATTTTCAGCAACTGAACACACATGCAAGAAGCAAGGAGAATAATCAGAAAGAACTGGAATTATTAATATATAAGCTAAATTATTATTTAATTGGCGTCACAGAGACTTGGTGGGAAAGGTCTCATGACTGGAATATTGCTATAGGGGAATACAGCATGTTCAGGCAGGGCAGACAGAATAAAAAGGGAGGAGGTGTGACATTATAAGTGTAAGCAGAGTCAGGATGAGCTCTACCCTGACATCTGGTGGTGAATTATGGCGAACTCCAGGGGCTGATCTTGTTTGCATAGGCACACCCACCCGCCTGGCATGAGACAACAGCAACTGAAAGTGGTTACTTTGGCTGGTGTGGGATCCCCAGTTTCTCTGTTATTGGGGCAGGAAGAATAAAGTTTTGTTACCCAATTCTGTGAATCAAGGCCAGTGGAACTGTTGTATGACAGAAGGACTCACCATTAACTAAGTAGCACTTGCTTGACAAGGGGCATGTGGAGTGCCCATCATTGGAGGTTTTTAAGAACAGGTTGGCCAAACACCTGTCAGGGACAGTCTAGGTTTACTCTGTTCTGCCTCAGGTAGATGTGAGGACTTCTCAAGATCCCTTCCAGCCCCATATTTCTATGATTTTTTTGGTTTTGGGGTTTTCATTTTTCTGATCAAATATTTTGCAGCAATCATTCCCTGATCAGCTTTAATGTTCTTGTTGCTTTATTTAGAGTTTCCTAATTGTTAGCAGAATTTCAGATTTTACACACAGACTTTTTCTACTAAGAAGTTTAATCTTTTTGTAGTTTATATTTTTGGTTGAATGCAGAATATTCTGGAAAAGTATCAAGTGAGGGAAAGAACTATTGTTTTTAATTTCTGAGAACATACAGGAGAGTTTTATACCTAGCTGAAGTGTTCTCAATTCTACATCTGATTGGTTAAATTACATGCCTGGGGTGTCCTTTCACTCCCCCAGAACTCAGACCAATCACAGCTCACAGATTAGACACTTCTAGCAAATACTCTGTGGTTCATAAGATTATTAACTACAGGTCTATACATGTATTTTGTATTATTATAAGGGAATTGAATAGTTATTTAAAATATTTAAATTATTTAATATTAATATTTGAGTAACTATGAGATTAAGTACATTTATCACACTAAGAATAATTTATAATTTTAAGAGTGATCATGTTTAAGAGTAAAAGGGAATGGTAAGTGGGGAAAAATCACATTTGATAAGAGTTTGTAGCAAAATAATGTTAATATTTTCAATATTTTGTTCTTTGTCTATAGCAATCTGTAAAGTGCTCTAATGTGGTGAAATTGAAATAAATTAGTTTAAAAACCTGCATTCATAATTTTAATTATAATAATTATATATTTTAATCTAAAACTGTACTAGTACATATTTTCAAATTAGTTTGAGGATTTGTAAAACTGATTAAGTATATGATTTTTTTAAAAAAATCAGATTTATATCTTGATTAAAATAAATTCAAATCATCTTGATTGCTCTGCTCTTGTTTCTGGTCAAACAATTTTGCACAATTACTAACACGAACCTAGCTCCATCTCCTCCTGAATATGCCTCGAGTAGATCAATTTAGCATCATCCAGGTCTCTGTCAAACATGGTGATAAGCCGAGGATATTTGTCAGAGGCACTGGCAGCTATCACTGGCCGTTCCAGAAGGCTCCCAAATATGTCCAGCAACTAGGAAGAGGAACAAACAGAAAAGAAAAGAAAAAAATCACAGCCCCAGCTTCTCCAGCAGCCCCTGGTTGCTATGAACTTCTTTAAAGGCCATGAACTCTCAATATTGTATTCAATAAGGGACGGTTTTGAAAAAGAAAAACCTGCACTGATCACACTCATTTTTCCAGAAAGTCCCATCTCTCGTTCACAAGCATTTCTCAAGCTTTCTCCATAATATGCAGTGCATCTCAATAATCAGAGCTGGTCAAAATTTGTTAAATGAAAATTATTTTAATCAAAAAATAGCTTTTTTTCCCAAAAAAGAATTTTTTCACCCCCCCAGAAAAGTTGCCTTTTCCCATTTTTCACAACATTTGTTAATAACTTTTTTATCAAAATGTTAGTGAAATCATTAGTGACAATTTTCACTCACCGAAAACCATGTTTTTTCATAAACAAAAGATTTTTATTTAACAAAACCTTGGTTTTTTTGTAAACACCACATTTCAGGAGCCATAAAAATATCAATAAAATCATTTCATGAAATAGTCTTGAAAATGAAAAACAGGTCCATGTGGAACCCTGCTAAATGGGACCAACATTGACCTTTTGAACTTCCTCACCAAATGTTTTGCCATTGTTCTGCCAGCCCCAGGACTGAGAGAGGAAGTGTCTTGTGGACTAGCTCCCTTCCCAGTTCATCTCCCAACTCTTTTGTTCCTCTCTCTGCCTCTACTTCTCCAGCTGGTCCTCGCCTGCCACACTGCCCTGGAATAGCTGCCTGGCTCCTTATTTCCTTTCTATCCCAACTATTCCAGTCCCTGGAGGCTGCTGGCAGTTCTAGTCCCTGAAGGCAACTCCTGTTTCCTCCCCTCAGAAATGAGATGCCTGGAAACCAAAACAAGCAGCTGCAAACAGGGAGGAGAGCTAGCCAGTGTTCTGCGGACCAACACTAGCCCACAGGCTGCAGTGTGGGAATCACTGCTCTGTTGGCTTGTATAGCAGCACAAATACGCAATGCATCTCCCTGGGCATCCAAGCTGTCACCTTTATTAACCCTTCACAAACAAAGCAACAAACAAGAAACTAAATGGTGTATTTTAGCTAGAGAAATGCTTTGCATTTAGAAAAGCAGTCTGCGTGTCCTGAACATGGCACTGTCAGAGCACAGCTATGGGACACGTAGTTTGTTTGGGGGAGGATGGGGTACCTGTACAAAAAGAGCTTCATTTCTTTGGCAAGAATCACAGACCTTGAAGGCATGCTCCAAGCCAGCTGCATCATCAAAAGCCTGGCTGAAAATAGTCCCCAGCCTTCTGTCCATATCTTCCATTTTCTGCTTAAAGTCAGAGGCATCATGTTCGAACTCCTAAGGCAATGAAGCACATCAAGCTGTTACAGAATGTTAGAGTGAGGAACACTGTCCTTGACAAGAATCACCCTGCTTTCGACGCTGTACCCCACCCCTTTCCTGCATGTCAGGAGCAGGAAAGGGCAGATCCTCATAAGAGGCAGATCCTCAGCTGGCGTAAATCAGTGAAGTTCCACTGACTTCAATACAGCATCACCATTTTACCCCAGCTGAGGATCTGGCCCTAACTATCTTCAAGCCCATTTGTCCTGTGCACGTTCATGACTTGACTGCTGTTATTTTTCAGTCATGCAGACTGTAAAAATGTTTCTTTTGAGGCGTGTACCGTAAGTCACATCTCTAGGTCAGAAATCTTACAAATGCACTTTTTGCATTAAAAAACAGACATACGTTTAAACCAAATTCATGTTGTGACTCTGATCACAAGCTTACTGTAAACTGGACCGTGTTGAGGCAATTCCATTATCTTTCAACCCATTCTTCACACATCGGTTTTAATAAATGCTTTGAAGTTTGAGAGAGAAAACTAGGTTGTTGGGTTTTTATTAAAAAAAAAAAAAGGTAAATAATTCTGAACCACACAAAGGATCACAGGGACTTGGCAAATCGGTCAGTCTGATTTCAGGCTTCTTAACCCGGACAAAACTTCTTAGCCTGCATCAGCAAGGTTCTGGCATTTTGGGTCTCAGATTTTTTCTAGATTCCCTTACAGCACTGGCTCATGGCTGGCACAGCTGTAAAGGGGCCATAGCTGATTCATTAACAAATGTGGTTCAGAAAATCCCGTGAGAGGCAGGGGAGAACAGGATCCAAAGCCAGCCTCTTCCAGAGGCAGATTTCTGATCCTAGCAGCCACTTTTGTGACCTCCCTCCCCAAGTAAGAACTGTCTGGAACAATATCAGTCTGACAGCTGAGCTCAACAGTAAAACCCTGACAGCCGTCACAGATGTTAGACATACCACAGAGACTCTACTGCTGTGGACTGCAGCTGGCAAGACACAGCCAGTGACTGGAGGGGAGTCCTTCTATTACCTCATTGGCCCCATCCTCAAACTGGACAGTTCCATTTACTAATACTCAGGGAGGGAACAGTTATTTTAACTTGTCTGTAATACACCATTATATAGCTATATCACAGTACAAGAAATAAATATAATTCCATACAATAACCATGTCAACAGAATATCAAGCTCACTGAGGCACTGAACAATAAAAAAATGCCATCTGCAAGGTGGCCTGTGCAACCTTAACTCTGTCCTTTGTGCATGTGCATGACAAGGTCTTTAATTACATGAGCACACAGTGTAGTTTCCACAGGACCCGTGCCTCCTTCACTGAGCAGTGAAAGAAGCAGACACCCAAGGTATTTTTATCCTCATTGTTCAATGAGTAGATTGCCCCCCGCACACACATGTTGCCTCATTCATGTCAGCCATCCCTCCCTTCCTTCTTCACTATGTGCTATCCAGCTTCTGCAGTGCATGAGACGGGGAGGACTTTTGCTACTGTGATCTAAGCCTGTATCACCTCGCGGTTAGGCTATGCGGTATGCTCCATGTGCACCTATACCTTAAATCAGCTTGGTGACTGAAGCTGGCACAGAATGCAGCTGCTTGCTCATTAAGCAGTGCATCTCCCTGGCAGCACACAGCACCCATGCTTCAGGATCGGCACTGGCTGCCTTTTGGTTTCCAGGTGGAGTTTAAGGTTTTAACCTAGAACGTCCCAAACCACCTGCGACCTGCTTTGAGATCTACTGATGAAAAGCACCACAGGTGCCGGCTTCCTCCTTGCCCTGGGGTTGCTCAACCCCCGCTCTTCCCCAGGCCCCACCCCCACTCCACTCCTTCCCCTATGCCCCACCCCACCTCTTCCCGCCCCCACCCTGCCTCTTCCCATCCAGTTCCTCCTCTTCCCCCGAGCATGCCCCAGCCTCAATCCATTTCCTTCCCCCAGCACCTCTTGCATGCCACTGAACAGCTGATCACAGCAGGCGGGAGGCACTGGAGGGAGGGGGGGAAGCTGGCTGCCAGTGGGTACTAATTTTCTTTCTGTGGGTGCTCCTGGGCTGGAGCACCCCTGGAGTAGGTGCCTATGAAAAGCACTATGTAAGAGCTACAAATTAATTATTAATTAGTATTACTAGTAGTAGTTTTATCTGGGACCGCACCTCTCTCCCATGCAATACCACGGATCATCACTGTGGCAGTTTAGAGCTTTTATAACTCCCTCATTTGCACACTGGGACAGACCTGGAAGTGTGCTGCTAACTAGCTGCAGTGAACAAGCAAACCAGTCAGTGAAGACACCAACCATCATGACTGCAGTCGCAGGATGAGGTGAATGATGGAAGTAAGAAAAATCAGGAGTTCCATTTGCATGATATCGAACAGGGGTCGGCAACTTTTGGCACCCTGGCGGGCCGGGCCGGTTTGTTTACCTGCCGCGTCCACAGGTTCGGCCAATCGCGGCTCCCACTGGCCGTGGTTCGCCACTCCAGGCCAATGGGGGCGGCGGGAAGCGGCGCGGGGTGAGGGATGAACCAAAGTAGTGGTCAAAACTTTGCTACTATAAAGCAAAATCAGGCTGTGAACAAGAGGCAGGCCCTGCTCAGAGAATCTGGCAAGAGCAGGACTGACATTGCAAAAACGCACATGCCTAAGAGGTGCTAGGCACAGAGCACTCACGCAAACACATTCCAGAAGGGTAGTACCAGAACACCTCATACTAAGAATGGTATAAACACATTCCCCAAAGAGAACAGGAACACACTGACCCATCCTAAAGATAAGGTCAGGATGACAGTTTGATGGATAAAAATGTACAAAGTAATGGGTGGTAACTGGCTACGTCAGAGGGTGTCAACTAGCTACGTCAGAGGGGCAGTACATAACTTGTTTGTATTAATTAAATTAATTTAATTAATTAAAGGGAGTGTCTTTGGCAGGCCTAGGAGATAATGGAAAGTCCCACCATTAACTAAGCTAGTCCATTGCAACGGGCATACATGTGTTAGTGTACCTGTAATCATTGAGCCAGGACATTAGAATCGTGCTTCATAGACAATAAACCTGACCAAGTGCCTTTGCTACGAACCAAGTCTGTGGTTATAGGGCAGTTGGATCGGAGCCTGCTGTACGGGCTATCTGGCCAAAGTCAGTACAGCACTCAGACAGAACACACACACACACACGCGGCCAAACATCTAACCACAATTCTGTTATAAGTGTGTAAAAATGTACCCACTGTGGGAACCCAATTTAGAAAACAGCCTTTTCATGCAACCTGCCAGGGGCCAAAAGCACCCTTCAATCTATGGGCAAAAAAATCAGGAAATGATGCACTGAGGGAGGAAGAGGCTGGAAACAAAGCTAGAGAATTTCAAGTGGATTTGGGATTTTTCTAGAAAGAACATGCTTCTTTGAAAGCATTTACACACAGTTAGTTCTCCTGGAGTCCAGTACCACCTACCATGTTGTTTGTGTCGAGACAGTCATAGCTTCGGTCTGAAAGTACTTTGTACACCTCCTGGAACTCTTCATACATGCTCAGGACCTGCTGGCTCAGCGCCTTTCCTCTTATCCCACTAAACTCTAGCTTTTCCAGCTTCATTATGTCCAAGGCCGTTGCTAGGAGATCCTTCAAAGTCAATTAACAGAGGAACAAGTTAAGATGTTGACAAAAGAAAATGACAGCAGCTCTCACAACAAGGAGGCACATTCATACTGTGAAACCGTGTGGACAGCTACATTTTATAAGTGATCAGCATGTGCTTAGTGCCCGATATGGACTGACATAGGGCTGGCTACAGCACAAGCCGTGCATCTCACTTGGGCTCTGTAACTCATGGGCTGGTCATATCTTCTCCTTCTCCAACCCTGCTGCTAGAGCTGGAAGCATCTACTCCCTCTCCACCAGTGGTGATGCAAAGAGAGGCAACTCGAGGAATGGTTTAGTCCTTTCCAATTTCTTCTCAGGGACTCTGCAAATTGTGAAGTCAGTCTTGGGCTGAAGATTAGTCAGAGGGAGGGTAATGAGTTACATAGCAGGGGGGACGGACAGCGCAGTAGTCTGAGCATTGACCTGCTAAATCCAGGGATGTGAGTTCAATCCTGGAGGGGGCCATTTAGGGATCTGGGGCAAAAATCTGTCTGGGGATAGGCCCTGCTTTGAGCAGGGGGTTGGACTAGATGACCTCCTGAGATCCCTTCCAACCCTGGTATTCTATGTAATGTGGGGGTATCTGTTAGATCTTTTGCAAAATTTTCAAAAACGTCTAAGGCCTAGGTGCACAAAGGGAGTTAGGCACCTACAAACCTGTTTTGGGGACCAGTGTCATGCACAAAACTGCCACCAAACCCTTCAGGTACCTAAACTCACTCAGAGCCTAAGATCCTGCAGTAAATATTCCCTAGCACTTACGTCCCTGCCTCTGAGCATATGCCCTGCTGCCTCCCTGAGGACATCTGGCCGCCTAACTCCCACCTAAGCCGCAGAGTGATTCACAAACCAGGGGAAGAGATGGAGATAAGAACCAACTTAGCCACCTAGGACCAGATTTTCAAAGGTATTTAGGCACCTAAAAATGCAGATAGGTGCTTTGTGGGATTTTCAAAAGCAGCTAGGTGCAGACTCCTGAGATCAAGGGGAGTTCTGCACCTGGGGTTGAATGCCAAAAGGAGTTAGGCTCCCAACTTCCACCAAAATCGGGACTAACTGCTTTTGAGTATTCAGCCCCTAGGCCTGTCTGAAAATCTCACTAGGTGCCTAGCTGTGTCTTTAGACACCTCTATATCTTTAAAAATCTGGCCTGTAGGAGCCCCAAAAACCCATTGAAGGTTAGTGGGACTTACGCACCTGTCACTTTTGAAAAATAGGACTTCGGCTACTAAGTCACTCACGGTACATCTACCCTGCATTCAAATCAGAGGTGTGACTGCAGCACATGTACACATAGCTTTGATCCAGCTAGCTCGAGCAACAACAGCAGCGAAGCCGTGGCAGCTGGGCTGTACAAGCCTGCTCGGGATGCTTGGTATGCACTCCAGCTGCTAGCCCATTCTGCCCCTGTGCCGCTGCAGCTTCACTGCTATTGGCACTTGAGCCAGCTAGATCAATGCTAGCTCGGGTCTGTCTATACGTGCTGCATTAACACCTCTGGCTGCAGTGTAGACGTACCCCTAGTGAGTCACATCATAGACCAGAGAAGTGAGAGCCCCTTCCTTGTGTATAATACCGGTGAGAACACACCTGAGACAGCTCTGGACACCCCAGTACCAGGAAGGAGTGCATGAGTGCAGCAAGCAAACCATCCAACATAAGTGCCCAAAAGCCCTCCATTGTATATTCCGACTAGGGGAGTCACATGGATCAGCAGATCTAGGGGAAAGCCTGGGAGTTTTGCTATTGACTTCAAGGAGGTCAGGATTTCATCTCTGGGGTCCCATCCCAGCTCTCTAATTGACTCACTGGGCAAGTCACATAAGCCCAGATTTTCAAAAGCAGTCTCTAAATCAGTGCCTTAATTCAGGGATGCCCATCTTAATATGCCTAGGGCTGGAGCTGCAGCCACAGCTCCCATCAATTTCAGTCGTATCAGGAAATAATTTTCTGTCCAAGCAAACCACAGCTTCCAGGTAACTGGTAATTAAGAACATAAGAATCACCATACTGGGTCAGACCAAAGGTCCATCCTGCCCAGTGTCCCGTCTACCGACAGTGGCCAATACCAGGTGCCCCAGAGGGAGTGAACCTAACAGGTAATGATCAAGTGATCTCTCTCCTGCCATCCATCTCCACACTCTGACAAACAGAGGCTAGGGACACCATTCCTTACCCATCCTGGCTATTAGCCATTAATGGACTTAACCTCCATGAATTTATCTAGTTCTCTGTTAAACCTTTTATAGTTCTAGCCTTCACAACGTCCTCAGGCAAGGAGTTCCACAAGTAGACTGTGCACTGTGTGAAGAAGAACTTCCTTTTATTTGTTTTAAACCTGCTGCCCATTAATTTCATTTGGTGGCCCCTAGTTCTTATGTTATGGGAACAAGTACATAACTTTTCCTTATTCACTTTCTCCACACCACTCATGATTTTATATACCTCTATCATATCTCCCCTTAGTCTCCTCTTTTCCAAGCTGAAAAGTCCTAGCCTCTTTAACCTCTCCTCATATGGGACAAGTTCCAAACCCCTAATCATTATAGTCGCCCTTCTCTGAACCTTTTCTAATGCCAGTATATCTTTTTTGAGATGAGGAGACCACATCTGTACGCGGTATTCAAGATGTGAGCGTACCATGGATTTATATAAGGGCCATAAAATATTCTCCATCTGATTCTCCATCCCTTTTTTAATGATTCCTAACATCCCATTTGCATTTTTGATTGCCACTGCACACTGCATGGACTTCTTCAGAGAACTATCCACAATGACTCCAAGATCTCTTTCCTGATTAGTTGTAGCTAAATTAGCCCCCATCATATTGTATGTATAGTTGGGGTTATTTTTTCCAATGTGCATTACTTTACATTTATCCACATTAAATTTCATTTGCCATTTTGTTGCCCAATCACTTAGTTTTGTGAGATCTTTTTGAAGTTCTTCACAGTCTGCTTTGGTCTTAACTATCTTGAGCAGTTTAGTATCATCTGCAAACTTTGCCACCTCACTGTTTACCCCTTTCTCCAGATCATTTATGAATAAGTTGAATAGGATTGGTCCTAGGACTGACCCTTGGGGAACACCACTAGTTACCCCTCTCCATTCTGAAAATTTTCCCATTTATTCCTACCCTTTGTTCCCTGTCTTTTAACCAGTTCTCAATCCATGAAAGGATCTTTCCTCTTATCCCATGACAACTTAATTTACATAAGAGCCTTTGGTGAGGACCTTGTCAAAGGCTTTCTGGAAATCTAAGTACACTATGTCCATTGGATCCCCCTTGTCCACGTTTGTTGACCCCTTCAAAGAACTCTAATAGATTAGTAAGACATGATTTCCCTTTACAGAAACCATGTTGACTTTTGCCCTACAATTTATGTTCTTCTATGTGTCTGACAATTTTATTCTTTACTATTGTTTCAACTAATTTGCCCAGTACTGACGATAGACTTACCGGTCTGTAATTGCCAGGATCACCTCTAGAACCTTTTTTTAAATATTGGCATTACATTAGCTATCTTCCAGTCACTGAGTACAGAAGCTGATTTAAAGGACAGGTTACAAACCATAGTTAAGTATCAGAGGGGTAGCCGTGTTAGTCTGAATCTGTAAAAAGCAACAGAGGGTCCTGTGGCTCCTTTAAGACTAACAGAAGTATTGGGAGTATAAACTTTCGTGGGTAAGAACCTCACTTCTTCAGATGCAAGAAGTGAGGTTGCATCTGAAGAAGTGAGGTTCTTACCCACGAAAGCTTATGCTCCCAATACTTCTGTTAGTCTTAAAGGTGCCACAGGACCCTCTGTTGCTTTAAACCATAGTTAATAGTTCTGTAATTTCACATTTGAGTTCTCTCAGAACTCTTGGGTGAATGCCATCTGGTCCCAGATGTTAACTTGTTACTGTTAAGTTTATCAATTAATTCCAAAACCTCCTCTAATGACACTTCCATCTGTGACAATTCCTCAGATCTGTCACCTACAAAAGATGGATCAGGTTTGGGAATCGCCCTAACATCCTCAGCCTAGAAGACTGAAGCAAAGAATTCATTTAGTTTCTCCACAATGACTTAACTAAACTGGATCTTTCAAAGATCCCTCCTGCACTGCCTGCAGAATACATGCTATCGGAGTGCTATTTCAGTGAGGGAGCAGATTCGTTAGATAGGTACAATTTAAAATAGGACAAAGACAAAGTGGAAGGGAAGGGAAAGAAATGAGCCTCTCTCCCAGTACATCTATCTGCCAACCCACATTTAATAGCTATTACAGCCGTTGTGCAATCTATTTTAGTTTTGCCAAATATCTTCAAGGTAAAAATAATAATACACAGACAAAAGTCCTATCTCACACTGTTCTAGTAGGGTTGCTTGGGAATGAAAAAAAAAACGGAAGGAAGGAAGAAAAAAGAAACGCTGGAGTTTCCTGTGGATTTCCTCATGAAGAGGCTGGAGACCATTATGTTTTTAATCATGATGAGGTCTAGGACAAATTTAATTGCACCTCACAATGCATGCAAAGCTGAGTATAATTGGGAAGAGTGCTCACCCAGATCACAGATCCCATGCCACTTTCACTGCACCTTGAAGGATATATTATGAGGCACACGTTGGTAACTATTGTCCAACTTTAAACCAAAAAAAAAGTAAGTTATCTGCAGCCACAAAATGAAAATCACAGCTGAAAAATCTGTTTTCTTTCTAGCTCCCACCTTCCTAGCATCTAAGCAACGAGCAAATGGTGCACCAGATCCTTAGCACAGTTACGTTGCATAATTACTTCATTGTTCCTATTGTTCTCATTATGAATTGTAATTACTAACGTCTTTATTTATGTTTGTCTTGTTAGAACGGCCAGGGTAATTTTGTTTACTGCATACCAGCACTTAGTGGAAAACATCATTCTGAAAAGCTTTAATGTAGACATTAGTGATTGCGGAGCTTTCCGCTGTGTTAATTAAATGGGGTGCATAAAAAAATGCAGTGAGCTACAATCAATAGTGCTTTGTATTCCGTTGCAGTATATCCTCTGAGAGATAGCGAGAACAAAATGTTCTCATTTAAACTGTCCTTTTGCTAAAATGAGGCAAATGCCAGCCCTCTGCATTTTATGCATCTGCTAACCTCAGGCTAGGGCAGCAATGAAAGAAGAGAGTCCCCTTAAAAGTGAAGTGAAAAGTTTCTTAATATACGTATGTGTGTCAAAGAGTGCAAATCCTTAACAGAATGGCATCTGCGTTCAGCTCCTAGCACACTGGGCCCTGATCCCAGGCTAGAGCTTCCAGGCACTACCACAACACAGGTAAAGTCAGAACAAATATATACAAAGTAGGCCTGGCAGAGTCAAGACCTAGATACACGTCATGCACTGTTCCAGGAGCCCATTACCAAGTTTGAAGCTGGCAGGTGATAGTGCATGGCAGTGGTGGAAATCTCCCTCCCCTGAAGGCCCTGTCATTTTGTTTCTCCCGACTTGTATCAAGCACTGTAATGTGCAGTTAGCATACCTTTGTCCCTACCACACTTTGAAAATGTGTGACGCTCTTGAGCCACAATATCATCAGTTGGTAGGGTTGCCAGGCATCCAGTTGAAAAGGGAACCTGGCAGTGTCCGGTCAGCACTGTTGATTGGACACTAAAAGTCCGGTTACCGGAGTAAACACCATCAGTCTCCTTGCCAAGAGCACGGGAAGAGCAGCACCTGCTGCTGGAGCCTGGAAGAGCTGCTCAGCTGCTGATGAAGAGAACTGACTGGCTCCCAGACCCAGCTCCAGCCTCTTCAGAGGCCACTGCCGGGCAGCTGCAGCAGGACACAGCTCTGGGCTCTCTCAGCAGCAGTGTGATGGGGGGCTGCCTACCATCCCCAACAGAGCCCATGCAGAATTTCAGGGGGTACCTACTCCTGCCTAGCACCCTCTGACTCAATACTGTGAAGCACAGGCCAAGGACACCAGCAGGGGATTAGCAGTGTGTGGGGACATGGGGCACAGGGCCTGTGGGGTCCTCCACAGACTGGATGGATTTAGACAAACATCTCAACTAAACTTAGATTATACACAGTTAATGTGGGGCTGTGGGGCTGGAACAGGCAGTTTCTTGGTCAGGGGGGAGAGCTGGCTGGGGCTGTAGCAGCCAGTTTGGCTAAGGGGTGGGGGGTTGGGGCTGTAGCAGGGGGCTTGGCTAAGGGGCTGGGGCTGTAGCAGGGGGTTTGGCTCTTGAATTGGGTTGCAACCTTTGAGGTACCAAAACCAGGACATCTGGGACGATCCCAAGCCCACAGTCCTGGCCAGCTGGCAGTGTGTACTGAGCACCGTACAGATTTCCTGGGATAGCTACCTTAAATAAAGGGACGATCCTGGGAACACTCAGACAGATGGCAGCCCTGCTGTTGAGGGGCACCCATAGCCCCAGGACTGAGATTGTGCTGATGGATTTCTAGCTCCTGTGTGCCGTGAAGCCCAGTAAGTGCCACACATTCCCCTTTAGAGGGCTCTGCTTCTTTGGAGTGACTCTTGTGAGCAATAAAACACCAATGCCAGACCAGAGAGAGGGACCCAGGTGTGTATTCCACATGTTCTTTAGCCAGGATATGGTGCAACCAATGCCCCTGCCGCACTTAGCAGAAAATTGACTGGAAAAATGAGAAGGTTCCTTACCTACAATGTGGATGAAGGTTATGAAGGGGTTTGTTGTCGTAAGTGGATTTATCTCTGCAAAGTGCAGTCTCGAGTTTCACCGTATTTCAAGACCAAATACTCACCTCCACCATCTCAAGTCTTCTTAGGAAGCTGTCCAGCCGTGCAAACACCATGGGGGATTGGAAGTCCCATTCTTTCACTCCTTGGCCTGGTTTAAAGTAGGTGTGGAGATTTTCCCGTCTCGCCTCAAACGTCTGCTTGAAGTAACTCAGGATGCCGAGCACCTCCCGCACTTTGCCCAGACTTTCTTCTGCTTCCCCCTTCAGAATGTCTTCTGGGGTCAGGTAATTCCAGGCCTACGGTGACAGAGCCAGAATTGAAGTTCTGCTGCCCCAAGGGTCCGATTGGGTTTTTGGGCTGGCTACATTTAAATGTGTTTCTCAAGCCAAACAATGTTTTTTAAAAAATCATTATATGGGGGAGCCTCAGGGGTTCGGGAGATGACATGCCTCTTTTTAAAAGCTTTCCTGAGCAAATCTAAAGATCTGGGGATGAAATCCGGGGACACCTTTCCACAACTCCTGCCTGCCATGAACACAGATGCCAGAACTCCAACTCCACGGACTATTCCCAGAGCCCAGAACCCAGTCCTAGCATGAGAGAGCTAGAAGGCCTTTCTAGGTGATGGTCTGACACCCAGCCTCTCATAGACTCATAGACTTTAAGGTCAGAAGGGACCATTATGATCATCTAGTCTGACCTCCTGCACAATGCAGGCCACAGAATCTCACCCACCCACTCCTGTAACAAACCCCTAACCTATGCCTGAGTTACTGAAGTCCTCAAATCGTGGTTTAAAGACCTCAAGGTGCAGAGAATCCTCCAGCAAGTGACCCGTGCCCCACGCTGCAGAGGAAGGTGAAAAACCTCCAGGGCCTCTGCCAATCTGCCCTGGAGGAAAATTCCTTCCCGACCCCAAATATGGTGATCAGTTAAACCCTAAGCATGTGGGCAAGACTCACCAGCCAGCACCCAGGAAAGAATTCTCTGTAGTAACTCAGATCCCACCCCATCTAACATCGCATTACAGACCATTGGGCATATTTACCAGCTAATAATCAAAGATCAATTAATTGCCAAAATTAGGCTATCCCATCATACCATCCCCTCCATAAACTTATCAAGCTTAGTCTTGAAGCCAGATATGTCTTTTGCCCCCACTACTCCCCTTGGAAGGCTGTTCCAGAACTTCACTCCTCTGATGGTTAGAAACCTTCGTCTAATTTCAAGTCTAAACTTCCTCATGTCCAGTTTATATCCATTTGTTCTTGTGTCCACATTGGTACTAAGCTTAAATAATTCCTCTCCCTCCCTGATATTTATCCCTCTGATATCTTTATAAAGAGCAATCATATCTCCCCTCAGCCTTCTTTTGGTTAGGCTAAACAAGCCAAGCTCTTTGAGTCTCCTTTCATAAGACAGGTTTTCCATTCCTCGGATCATCCTAGTAGCCCTTCTCTGTACCTGTTCCAGTTTGAATTCATCCTTCTTAAACATGGGAGACCAGAACTGCACACAATATTCCAGATGAGGTCTCACCAGTGCCTTGTATAACGGTACTAACACCTCCTTATCTTTACTGGAAATACCTTGCCTGATGCATCCCAAGACCGCATTAGCTTTTTTAACAGCCATATGACATTGGCTGCTCATAGTCATCCTGTGATCAACCAATACTCCGAGGTCCTTCTCCTCCTCTGTTACTTCCAACTGATGTGTCCCCAATTTATAACCAAAATTCTTGTTATTAATCCCTAAATGCATGACCTTGCACTTTTCACTATTAAATTTCATCCTATTACTATTACTCCAGTTTGCAAGGACATCAAGATCTTCCTGTATGATATTCCGGTCCTTCTATGTATTAGCAATACCTCCCAGCTTTGTGTCATCCGCAAATTTTATTAGCACATTCCCACTTTTTGTGTCAAGGTCAGTAATAAAAAGATTAAATAAGATTGGTCCCAAAACCGATCCCTGAGGAACTCCACTAGTAACCTCCCTCCAGCCTGACAGTTCACCTTTCAATATGACCCATTGTAGTCTCCCCTTTAACCAGTTCCTTATCCACCTTTCAATTTTCATATTGATCCCCACCTTTTCCAATTTAGCTAATAATTCCCCATGTGTAACCGTATCAAATGCCTTACTGAAATCAAGGTAAATTAGATCCACTGCATTTCCTTTGTCTAAAAAAATCTATTACCTTCTCAAATAAGGAGATCAGGTTGGTTTGGTACGATCTACCTTTTGTAAAACCATGTTGTATTTTGTCCCAATTACCATTGACCTCAATGTCCTTAACTACTTTTTCCTTCAAAATTTTTTCCAAGACCTTGCATACTACAGATGTCAAACTAACAGGCCTATAGTTACTCGGATCACTTTTTTTCCCTTTCTTAAAAATAGGAACTATGTTAGCAATTCTCCAGTCGTATGGTACAACCCCTGAGTTTACTGATTCGTTAAAAATACTTGCTAATGGGCTTGCAATTTCATGTGCCAGTTCCTTTAATATTCTTGGATGAAGATTATCTGGGCCCCCCAATTTAGTCCCATTAAGCTGTTCGAGTTTGGCTTCTACCTCGGATGCAGTAATATCTACCTCCATATCCTCATTTGTCATCCTACCATTATCCCTAAACTCCTTATTTGCCTCATTAAAGACTGAGCCAAAGTATTTGTTTAGATATTGGGCCATGCCTAGATTATCCTTAACCTCCACTCCATCCTCAGTGTTTAGTGGTCCCACTTCTTCTTTCTTTGTTTTCTTCTTATTTATATGGCTATAGAACCTTTTACTATTGGTTTTAATTCCCTTTGCAAGGTCCAACTCTACATGGCTTTTGGCCTTTCTCACTTTATCCCTACATTTTCTAACCTCAATAAGGTAGCTTTCCTTGCTAATCCCTCCCATTTTCCACTCCTTGTAGGCTTTCTGCTTTTTCTTAATCACCTCTCTGAGATGCTTGCTCATCCAGCTTGGTCTACAACTCCTGCCTATGAATTTTTTCCCCTTTCTTGGGATGCAGGCTTCTGATAGTTTCTGCAACTTTGACTTGAAGTAATTCCAGGCCTCCTCCACCTTTAGATCCACAAGTTCTTCAGTCCAATCCACTTCCCTAACTAATTTCCTTAATTCTTTAAAGTTAGCCCTTTTAAAATCAAAAACCCTAGTCCCAGATCTATTTTTGTTTATCCTTCCATCTAGTTTGAACTGAATAAGCTCATGATCACTCGAACCAAGCTTGTCCCCTACAACCATTTCTTCTATGAGGTCCTCACTACTCACCAAAACCAAATCTAAAATGGTATCCTCTCTTGTTGGTTCTTCAACTACTTGGTGAAGGAATCCATCAGCTATCGCATCCAGGAAAAACTGAGCCCTATTATTATTACTAGCACTTGTCCTCCAGTCTATATCTGGGAAGTTAAAGTCTCCCGTGATCACACAATTCCCATTAGTGTTTACTTCATTAAAAAGATTAAAGAGGTCTCTATCCATATCCAAGTCGGATCCCGGTGGTCTGTAGCACACCCCAAGCACTATCTCAGGGGAGGCTCTAGTAGCTTTCTTTCCCAATGTGATTTTTGCCCAGACAGACTCCGTCTTATGCATTCCATCACTTCTTATTTCTTTACAGACTACTTCATCATTGATATACAATGCTACTCCACCACCTTTGCCTTTATTTCTGTCTTTCCTAAACAGCACATAGCCTTCAATACCTGTACTCCAGTCATGACTACTAATCCACCATGTTTCTGTTATCCCTATAATATCTGGTTTCACTTCCTGCACCAGTAGCTCTAGTTCCTCCATTTTGTTACCTAGGCTCCTCGCATTAGTGTACAAACATCCTAATTTTTGCCGTTTGGCTTCACTGACATTCTTTACCCGATTAGGCACAGACATTCTACTGCCAGTATCACCTATTAGACTGGTATCTACACAACCCTTCCTCCTTACGTCCATTCTCATACCCACGGCTGTATCCTTTCTTACTTTGTTTTCTTCCTTCTCAATGTTAAATTCCAGTGTGGAGATTACCTGGACATCTCCCAACCATCTCCCCCAAATTCCTAGTTTAAAGCTCTCTTAATCAGTTGTGCCAGCCTCCATCCTAGAAGTCTATTTCCCTCCTACTCGGGTGAAGTCCATCCCGAGAGAACAGTCCTCGGTCCAGGAATGCCTCCCAGTGGCCATACATCCCAAAGCCCTCCTTATAGCACCACTGCCTGAGCCATCTGTTGATCGCCATAATCTTGTCACACCTTTGTTGCCGTTCTCTAGGAACAGACAGAATCCCATTGAAGATTACCTGAGCCTCGATTTCCTTAAGTGTCTTCCCCAGCCTGGCATAGTCTCCCTTGATACGTTCCAGCGAGAATTTAGCTGTATCATTTGTTCCCACATGAAGAACAATCAGCGGATTCTTTCCCGCTCCCGTTAGGATCCTTTTCAGCCTCAGGTCCATATCCTGTATCTTAGCACCCGGCAGACAGCACACCCTTCTGTTCTCCGGATCAGCTCTAGTTACAGGCCTTGGTTTCAGGACTGATGGCTCCACAACGGGGTGGAAAGGCAAACCTTACTTAGCATCTGACTGCTAAAGGGGGAGGGGGAGGTCCTTCCCCCTCTGGAGAAGCAGCAGCCTTCCCCTCAGGCTGTAGAGTCCAGGAAGCCTGTGGAGAGCCAACGGGCCAGCTACCATTTTGTTTTACAAAACCGTGTAATGAACTCTGTGATGCCATAAGCTTTGTTTTCACCTGGCTTTTTCATTGCAATCTGCTGGGGGCTTGATCATTATTATTTATACAACACCAAGCAGAGCTCTGAGCACTTCACTGTGCTCTGACCTGCAGACTCTACAAACTGGGGTGTGTGCAAATGCCATAATCAGAAAATCCCAGATTCCCTCAGCATTCCTCTGTTGAACACATGGGAGAGTTTGTGCCCCATAGGGGCTGGAGATTCTGCTCTTAAACCGTCAGATCTTGAAGGGATCCACAGGAGGCAAGGGGTATCTTCACAGAACTCCCCCAGCTGCTGCTGCCTCTGGAATCCCCTGGGGGGCAGGCACAGAGGGGAGAGGCAAGCATTACTGGGGATTATCTGCAGCGATTGTGTGGTTTCCTGTGGCTGAGAATCCAGTAGAAACCCACTAGCCCTGCTCATGGCCTCCTGGCAAAGCTGGGACCATGTGGAACCCCAAAGAGAGGCTTCCATGTGACCTGGGTGACCATGCTATGGAAGTGCCACCACCCATTAATAAGAGGCTTGGGATTGTGGGTGCTCATGGAAGTGCAGGGAGTATATGTCTAAGTGGATAAAAACACAGCTGAAGGACAGATGGGATGCAAGATAAAAGCCAAATGACTGAGCAGCTCTCTTTGGTGCAAAGCATTAGCACTGCAGGACTGACATTTCTCTAAACTCTTCTAAGCAAACGTGAGCTCTGGCACTGGGAGGCACAGTGGATTGAGATGGCTTTCATGTCTAACATGGATGGATGTGCAGCCCAGACACTACATGGCTGGCAGAATCAAGTGGCTGCATGAAAGAAATCCCAGACAAGTCTAGTGGAAGATGTGAAAGCGCTGATACCTAGGGTCAAGTTCAGTGTTGCAAGTGGGGCGTATCCTGACCCTGACCCCTACCCCATCTGTGGAAGCCTTGAGACAGAAATTTCTAACTGAGCTCTGGGGTTCAGGGAGTGGTTTAAAGGGTCCAGGCCACCTACTTGTTGGATGAGAAGATTGCAGATTTCCTGAAGCAGCACTATGATCCGTGCAGGCGTGTTGTAGTAATTAGATGTGGCCCAGATTAAACAAACCATGTGGAGCAAGGGACTGATCAATGGCTTCACCTCATTAAACTCAACATTCTCTATCTCCTCCAAGCCGCGCTGGAGAGGTGTCAGGTGCAGGTTAATATCCTGGGCCTCAGTCAAAGCTGTGAAAATAAACAGCACACATGAAAGGTGAGGTCTGTCCCTCCCTAGCATGCAGCTACTGCCTGGGATCTGATTATCTCTGATGTCATTTCACACCAACAGGCAAAAACTCAGCTTGCAAAATAAATTAAGCCAATTTATTTGGAAAAATGAACAGCAAAGGGAAACAGAAAACAACACAACCAAAAAAAACCAACATGCTGTTACTCCTTGGGACTCTGAATAGAGCCAACTTCTGTCTGTTTCTGCATCAGTTTTACCAGTGTAAAATACACAAAAGCTGCTTATGAAGTGATTAGGATCACTACGCACCTAACATACCCCAAAGCCTGGAAGCCACAACAGTTGTGCCTTTGAATGTTACTAACCTAGGTTAGTCTAGAGCAGCGGCTCTCAACCTTTCCAGATTCCCGTACCCCTTTCAGGAGTCTGATTTGTCTTGTGTATTCCAAGTTTCACCTCACTTAAAAACTACTTGCTTACAAAATAAGACTTAGCAAAGAAGGGTCCACAAAAAACAGTTCTGCGGGCTATAAACCTGATTGCCAATTGACATAAGAGTGTTAGTTGTTTAGGAGAGTAATACTTGAAGAACTAATTTAGAACAGCCAGCTTGTCTCTCTAACATTATTAACGGTTAGAATCGTTATGAAGGAGTGAGAGATATTGGCTGTGATGCTGGCAGACCTCACAGCTCACTGAACACTGACAAATGCATAGCCAGAAACCAGGCTGGCTCACCTGTGAGTTAATATAGTTAAAATAGATATTAGCGTGATAAGAAAGCGTTTAGACTTGATGGAATGCTTGTAGGATGCTGCATGTATTAATCCTACTTATAATATCTGTATGCCATGGTATGAAGTTATATTGAGCGTTTGCATTGTAAACCTCGGTAACTGTGTAACTCGCCAAACGGGAAAAGCAGCATTAATTAAGGTAAAGTGCTCGTCCTGCACACAAGGTGGCCCACTGAAGGCAAATGAGGCATTGTGCAGCATCAAAGGACAGAGACCTTGTTTACTGCATTCCTCGCTCCCTCCGGGAAGGGGAGCCCTGCACATGAACTCATCCCTTCAGATGGATTCTGGGGGGAAGGGGATAAAAATATCTGACAAGGAAAAACTGAGTCTCTCTCTATGCTGTCTTAGGGTGACCAGACAGCAAATGTGAAAAATTGGGACGGGGGTGGGGGGTAATAGGAGCCTATATAAGAAAAAGACCCAAAAATCGGGACTGTCCCTATAAAATCGGGACATCTGGTCACCCTATGCTGTCTGGACTCTGAGGGGCAAAGATTCCTAACCACAAGCAAGAGATACCCATGCTGCTTGGCCTGGGTCAGCCCTAAACGACATACACAGTAGCTTATTAGAGAAGCATCTACTCATAACTCATTTGTGTGTGTACATTTCCTGTTTTAACCCTATAAATAATTCTAATTTCTTTTCTTTGTTAATAAACCTTTAGTTTATTACAGGATTAGCTACAGGCATTGTCTTCGGTTTGAGATTTGAGTACAATTGACCTGGGGTAAGTGACTGGTCATTTGGGACCAGGAGTATCCTGAATACTGCTGTGTTTTTTGGTGTAAAGTGACCATCTATCACATAGTCCAGCTTGCCTGGATGGCAAGTGAGACTGGAGAGCTCAAGGGGACTGTCTGTGACTCCATGGTAAGGCTGTTACAGTGCTTTAAAAGTTCACATTGGTTACTGGGTTGGTGAAATCTAACTATAAAGCCCTCCTCCTTCAGGGGAGTTATCCAAGGCAAATACCAAGTCTCTGTCCTTATGAAGAAGGCTGTTGTGGGAGGTGGAGTGGAATGTAGCACTGTCTCATCCACACTAAAGATGCTTCCAAAGAACAGGACTTCTCTTTTGGAGAGTTGCATTTTGCTATGAACTTAAAAAGAAACCTCTACAGATGGGAGCCCAACTTCTGCAGCAGCAGCAGCTGCTGAGGAGAAAAGCGCCTTGGCTTTGGTGAGTTGATAGGGTTGGTTAGTGACACCGAAGTTCTCAGAAGATACTAGTTGTTTTGGTTGAAAAGGTTTTTTTTGCTGGGTTATAGATTACTGTTGGTCACGAAACAGGAGGTGTATCAGGGCCAGATTCACAGGGGGAACTTAGGTACCTAACTGCCTCTTTAGCTGGCAAAGTCCAACCTTTAAGCACTACTGACATTCACAATATCCTGCTCAGCCGCCACCTAACCCCATAGGTGCCTAATTTACTAGGCACCTATGTTTACACTGGAAAAGTCTCCAAGGTACCTACATTTTGGCAGCTGGCCATGTACATAGCTGCCTCAGTCCGGGAAGTGCCCAGCATCTCTGTGCCGAACTCCCACCTAATCCCCTAGTCTTCCCACCTATCTCACCCATGAGGCCCAACCTGGTCAATGTGCTCAGAGGCTGCCTTCAAACACATCGACCAGGTCAGGCCCCACACAAAGCACAGCTGGAGCACCCAGTCCCCTTTTATCCAACAGCCCTGTGGTGAGGGCACTCACCCAGGATGGGGTTCAAATTCCACTCTATGGGCTTGTCTTCACGTACAGCACTGCAGCCGTGCAGCCACCGTGCTTTAGTGAAGACACTACTATGCCGACGGGAAGTTAATCCACCTCCCGAAAGGCAGTAGCCATGTCAATGGAAGCAGCTCTCCCAGTGACCTAGCACTGTTTGCATGGGGGGGGGTTAGGTTGGTATAACTACTTTGCTCAGGGGGTGGATTTTTCACACCCCTGAGTGACATAGTTATACCAATATATAGATCTGTAGTGTAGACCTGGCCTATGGCTCTCTAATGCTCTCATTGTTGGAACTGTTCCATCTTGTATAAAATGCTTATCTAGTCATTAAAGCAGGGACGGGGACTTGAGACTCCCACGCCCCAGGTGAGTGTTCTAAGCATTGGGTCAATCTCTTGTTCTCTCTCTCTCTCTCTCTGGCCCAAATGAATATTTAAATATTTTGTACAAAGTGGCACAACTTTAACAGAAGTTCTCATCCCAGAAGTTCGGGCACTCAGCTGGGATGTGGGAGACTTGGGTTCAAATCCCTACTCTGCAGGGAGTTGATCAATTTGAGCACTGATTTCCCTACTGCAGAGCAAGGATTTGAAACCAGGTATCCCACAACCTGAGAGAGTGCTCGAACTATTGGGTATGGTGGGAGTGGTACCAACCACACCTCCTCATTTTTTCTTGAGAAAGGTGCTTAAGCTAGGTCAGCCTAACTCCAGGAGCAGATTCAATAGCGGTGAATCCCAAGCAGAGGGAAGCCCCTATCTCTGCCCAGACTTAGGCACTGAAGTTCCTTTGAGGGGGCGGGGCTTAAGCGCTGTAACGCTCAGCCTAAATCCCCCTTATCAAGCTAGCCCTCACGGCCTTCTCAGAGATTCCTCCTTCCCCGATAATGAAGGAAACTACAGTAAATTCTCGGGATTTTGTTTGGGCTGGACTGAATTCCACTGGGCATGGCTTACTTGAGAAGACTGAACTTCTGCAGAGTTGGGCATTGCTTGGCTGTAATTTTGCTTCTCAAAGACACACAGTAGAAAACTTCTTAGAAACTATTCTCTTTTCTTCTGTAAAATGACAAAATTTCTGAATCAATGTGCCAACATTCTTATAATTCTGATTTAAATAGGGAGGCAACAGTCCTTTGTCTGCCCAAAGGAGTACGGTCCTTTGTCTGCCCAAAGGAGTAATTCCTCTTGTTCCACTGTAAATGCACTGGGAGGGCAAAATAAGGAGGAGAAAGGCTGGAACGTTAATCCCCTGCATCACCTAGAGGATACTAACCCAGGCTTTAATCTTTTATAACTTTGTTTTCTTTAGAAGTGATACCAATTAGGACGATGGTCTTGTCAGATCTTATGACCTAAGCAGGTCAGTACTGGATGGAAGATCTTGAAGGAGATCCCAGGAGCTGTATGGAGTGATTCTAAGGATGTTCCCTCTGATCCAGTCCAACATAATGCTAGAAGACACTCTTTTCAGATGAAACATAAAACCAAGGACGCAACCATTTATTGCACTCAGACCCATTGCACTTTTCCTGGAGATTGCTCTGACAAAAAGTCTGCACTGAGGACTCAGAATCAAAATCTGAGTTCTCTACTCAGCCAAGCCACTGACCTGCTGTCCTGCTGTGTGACCTTGGGCAAGTCACATCAGCTTTCCACACCTGCAATGACTCCTCAGGAAAACAGGGAGAACGATATCTGCCCACCTTTATCAAGTGCCTTAATATCCTCAGACCAAAAGGTGCTCTGCCCACAGCAGTTGCAAACGATTATTTTCACAAGACTGGGGTGTGAACCCTGGTGTCCAGACTAAATTCCAGTTTGGGCAATAAGTAGTCTAATGAAAACTCCCCTTTTAGTTCCAGTTGGATACAGTATTCAACATTTCCTGCCCTAAACTGTTGTGAAGGGCTGTGGCTTGCTGTAAAGCAGCCACCACAATCACACTGTATTAGGTTACATTAATCCATCAGGATGAGGCACTCTGGATTAATATGAGATTATTATTAAAGGCGGAACACATCCCAAAATTCCTCTCCATGACTTTTGGGAGGTTTCTGGATCCACAGACCAGTAATCAAACTGATCCCAAGATGGTATCAAAACTGCAGGGTCATCTACAATCCCAAACCTCTAACCCTTCTGCCCCTTCGTCCTCCAGGATGCCCTTCCCAACAATCCCCTCCCTGCACCCCTCTCCCACAGGCTCCAAGGCTTCACATCAAGGACCAATGCCACTGCAGACCAGTCGTGTTGGTACTGTAGCTATAAAAATCAGGGGATGGGGAAAAGACCAACCATGAAATCAGCATAGCTAAGGCAAAGAGGGTGCCCAAATCTCACCTTCTACGACATCTCTGAACATCGCTTTGAAGGCTGGGAAGTAGCTGCTCTGCACTCTGTCTAGCAGTTCGGCCATTTTCCTCACCTTCTGAGTTTTCAGCTGATTGTAAATGCATTCCAGGTCCTCGTACCTACAGCAAAGCAAAAGAGATGAGAGCGCTAGGTAGAGATCACAGCAGCTGAACCCAGGCAAATAAACGTCCATCTCCACTCCATCTGCGTTGAGCAATTCACACCTAGCTTGCGTGGCTGCTGACTCATGGGAGTTCCTCGGACCTCATGGGCTTCAGCACTGTGAGGGCTAATCCTTATTCCAAGGGGAAGCCCAGTCCAGGGGTCAAAGTCAGTGACTGCCCGCAGTCCAATTGCCAGGTGCCCCTCCTGAAGTACCAGACAGGAGGGGCGGAGGACAGGAAATGAGCTCTGCATTTTTTAACTGAGTTGGCTGAGCATGTTAAATCACTGGAGCCTATTGTAGATAAAAACAGCTTGTAGCAAGTCTGATTCCTGAGTCAGGGTCTGTCGCTGCTACTGGGGCCTCTAACCCCTCACTGCAAGCAGAGAAATGGATTCCTTTGTGTCAGAAAACGTAACATGTTTTGGGCTTCAAAAACTGGCTTTGAGTTTATTGGAGAGAGGGGAAGAAGCCCAGTGAGAGGCTTCAATTAGCTCTTACTGGTGTCTGTGACACACTTTACCTCAAAGTAGCACCCTGTAATCTCCATACAAAGCGTGCCATGTAAGGTGACATATGAAAGGTCATGATCTGCTGAAACCCATTGTCCTGTCAAAACATGTATATTGTTAGTGTGTATGAAATTATGATATTCTGCCATATGGTTGTTACTGAAATACATTGTGTGTCCGGGAGATGCCCACAGCTAGCTCTCCAGTGGCAACAAAGGAGGTGACCCTCACCCGGGTGGGCGTTAAGTGACCATCGCGAGCCATTGACCAGCCGGGGAAATGTAAACAAGAGATTTATAATTTTGTTAGACACAGTTGTACAAGTACTGCACAATGGGGATTGCTCAACTCTGTGACTCATCAAGGCCCACCAGGACATGCCTGGCCAGTATCATTCCTGGGACATGAACTGAAAGTATAAAATAAGGGACAGTGGCATCATGCAATTACCTCTCTCCTCCCCCACCTACGCTGAAGGCACCAAGAACGCTGAGAAGACAAAGACTTCAAACTGATGAGATTGGTCCTAGGCTGTGTATTAAGAACTGTAACCTGACTGCAACATAGTGGGGTGAGAAAAGCTGTTTGATTCAAATCTTGCTTAGTCTAATGGAGTTTAGGATTTAGACAGCGATTTTACTTTTATTTCTTAGGTAACTAACTCTGACCTTATGCCTACCACTTATAATCACTTCAAATCTATCTTTCTGTAGTTAATAAGCCTATTTTAATGGTTTATCTTTACCAGTGAGTTTATCTAAAGCGCTTGGGGAATCTGCTCAGATTACAAAGGCTGGTGCACGGTCCACTATCCTTTGACGAAGTGGCGAACTAATTAATACGTTTGCACTGTTCAAGAGAAGGTCTTGAGCAGTGTAAGATGATACATTGTCTGGGTGCAAGACTGGGTGCTGGAGGGATTTGCTGGTGTCTCCCACTTTACAGTTCATGAGTGGCTTAGAGAGCACTCATGCAACTTACCTGGGTGTGTCTCTATGCTGGTGGCTGAGTGATAACAGCACCTGCTGCTTGTCACTAGCAAAGCATTGAGAGAGACAGCCCAGGCTGGAGAGTTAAGGGGACAGAGCAGTCTCATGGTTCCAGGTTGTACCCTGGGGTCCCCGTCACAGTGTCGCCTGTTCTTAGCTGTGATGGAAGGGGGATTTTAGAAAAGATCCCTTAGGTTTGGAGCCCCTACGCTGGTGGTCAACTGAAATACTGCCAGTTGCACCAGCAGTGACCTCCTATGTATTTCACAGCTCATAGTTATTTTATGAGCTTGAATAAACTTCTCTATCTTGAGTCTTTATATAAACTTTAAACTGCTTAGTCTTTATATCTTGTCTGAGTAGTGCTGGCTGCTTGCAGCATTTCCCTTCCATGTAACACGAGCTTCGACTGACAAACATACACTGCCAGGCTGCCTGCAACGCACCTGTTTTTCCAGAATTCTAACTCCACCTTTGGATTGGGGTTGCTGCCTTGCAGAAGTGGCTCTGATGACTCTCTTTTCAACGCTCCCTGGATCTGGTAGCTCCATTCTATCACTGTTGACTCAATGGCGTGCACGAGAGATTTATCCACCAGTTCCACACTGCAGAAAGTAAATACAAAGTCTCCCTGTGAAGTTTGGTTTTTGTTTGACAATGCACAGGAATCAGATATGCTGTGCAAAATAACCAGATGCCAACGTTTATTTCACAAGGTGCTGTGTATCTTAAACCCCCACACTTTTTTTTAATAGTACAGTAAATTCATTCTGGAGAAAGTTTCTAAAATGCCTTTATAGTGGATAACATCATCTAAGCCAACATCCTGCCACCAGCAGTGACCAGTACCTGATCATTCAAGGGAAGGCAGGCAGAAACAATAATGCACCCAAACATCTTACTTTCTGACCCCCTGAGGCATGAGACTTGCTCGTGTTTAGTATCTGAACTTGCACAGCATGGACAAGATTGTGGCATGTATGCCACTGCCCCAGTAGGGGGTGGTATGGAGCCCCCCATCCCATGAGGAGCACTGGGGAGACTATGCCTCAAGCAGAATCATCTCTCCCAATGCTGCTCTTTGCACAACCTGCTCCATCTTGCCTCCAGCGATTTACTAGACTCAGCTAGGAGAGAAACCATGCAAGGTGGCTGCTAAGCTGAAGGAGCAGAGGAGGTGCCAGCTTGCTGCCCAAAAGGCTGGAAACGGGGAGCACAGCTCCTGATAACTGTTGGATGTCAAAATGCTCCTATGCCTGCAGCACCAAATGGGCTCAGTCTTCAAAGGTTTTTGTGTGGCAGACAGTCAGAAAGACAGTCAAAGAAATTCCATAGAGCAGAGTTGGGCCTCCCTTTGCTTGGCTAGCTATGGGGATCAGCTTCTCTCAGGGCCTGTCTATCCTAGGTTTCTCTGTAGCGCCTGTCACTGTAGTATTTAATCACTGAACTTCTCAGTTACAATCTTTGGCTTGATCCTGCTCCTCTGAACTCAACAGGAGTGGGAACAGGCCCCTAGGCAGGGAGATGCATCATCTCAAGACAGGCAGCAGCACCATGGTGAGGCAAAGAAAATGATAAAGAGGAACAGGATTTGTTTCCTCTAGTCTAGAGGGTTAAACACTCCATTGCTGCTGCCGGCTGAGCTGGCAGGTGGGGGGAGTGGCAGGGACACAGTCTCTACCCCTGACCCTGTAGCCATTTCACCTACATTTAATGTTACCACTCCTCTTCCTCGTTGCTTCAGCAGTTTCACATCAGCAACTTCCCCGTGGCAGCCCATATGGTGCTGCAGGCAGAGGAGCCTGAGCAGTAGCACTGTGACATCATAAATAACTCACCCAATCAGCACTCCCTCCCTCAAGAAACCCAAACCCTAGTCTTAAACCTTTACCCCTAACCCTGCTGCCTGCCTTGGTCATCTCTCCCCTTCACAGTTCCCCCTGGCTGCTGCAGGCAAAGGAATCTCTCTACCTGTGGCACCAAATGGGCACTGTCTAGCTAAATTACAAGTTTTCACTGGACAAAGGTAAAATGATCTTGCCTGAGACAGGCTTAGTGGGGCGGGAGCGACAGTGCAAAGCTCCAGCCTCACTCCAATACAGCTCCCACTATTCCAGCACTGAACCCCCACGCCTCCCCACTGTGTCGGAGCACCTCAGTTCTGACCCCACAGGTTTATTTTGCTGGTGCATTTCAACCAATAGGATTGAAGCATGTAAATGAACTAGAGCAGGAGTGGGCAAACTACGGCCCGCAGGCCGAGTCCGGCCCGCCAGCCATTTTATTGGGCCCTCGAGCTCCCTCTGGGGAGAGGGGTCTGGGGCTTGCCCCGCTCCAGCGCTCCAGCCAGGGAGCAGGGTTGGGGGCTGCTCTGCACAGCTCCTGGAAGCAGCAGCATGTCCCCCTCCGGCTCCTACACAAAGGGGCAGCCAGGAGGCTCCACTCCGCATGCTGCCCCTGCCCCAAGCGCTGCCCCCACAGCTCCCATTGGCCAGGGACCACGGCCAATGGGAGCTGTAGGGGAGGCGCCTGCAGACGGGGCAGTGCGCAGCAGAGACGCCTGACCACGCCTCCACGTAGGAGCCGGAGGGTGGACATACCGCTGCTTCCGGGAGCCTCTTGAGGTAAGTGCCCCCCGGAGCCTGCACCCCTGATCCCACCCCAGCCCAGCCCTCCAAACCCCTCGATCCCAGCCCAGGGAACACTCCTGCAACCCAAACACCTCATTCTCATCCCCACCCCAGAGCCTGCACCCCCAGCCACAGCTCTCACCCCCTCCTACACCCCAACCCCAATTTCATGAGCATTCATGGCCCACCTTACAATTTCTATACTCAGATAATTATAATATGGAGATATACCTATCTCATAGAGCTGGAAGGGACCTTGAAAGGTCATCGAGTCGAGTCCAGTCCCCTGCCTTCACTAGCAGGACCAAGTACCGTCCCCGATAGATTTTTGCCCCAGATTCCTAAATGGCCCCCTCAAGGACTGAACCCACAACCCTGGGTTTAGCAGGCCAACGCTCAAACCACTGAGCTATCCCTCCCCCCAGTGTGGCCCTCAGGCCAAAAAGTTTGCCCACCCCTGAACTAGAGGGTGTGAATGATGACTGGCTGCGTTATCTGTGATGTCACAATCCCCATCTGCCTAGAGCATCAAATGGGCACAGTAAGGAAATGAGGCTTTTCCAATATTTTGGTTTCCTGACTACCCCCAAAATCAATGGGGTTCTTCCCACTGATGCTTCAAATGTTCCCAGAAATTGTGGAACTGATTGGATGTGGTCTTCAAAAGTTATCGTGTTACAGGCAGACAAACAGAATGCCATCAGGTTGAGTATTAGGCCTCACTTCCTTGGCTGACTAGCAAGGAGAATGGATAGTGAATGAGGAAAGTCCTGCTTATTTTTGCATGGGATTCCTAGCAGAAATAAAAACAAACATGCGGCGAGCAAAGTAGATGAAAACTCAAAACTTCACTTACATTTTTTCATTTTCACAATCTATATACTCCATTCTCTCAGAGCCTGCTGGAAGAGGGAGTAGGGTCTTCCCTTTTACTTGACCAATAACCACAAAAATGTTACTTTTCAGGCTGTGGACATGACGCATAATGTCCTGTGACACCACATGTGGCCAGCTGTGGTGATTCTTCTGGTTTGCCAGGACTGGTGCTACTACCTGTAATATAAACCATTGAGCCAGTTTACAGCAGATAAGTAATAAAGAAGAAAAAGCCAAGTGGGACTGAATAGCTCACGGGCCCCGGATCCTTTCATCAGCCAGCCACCAAACTGGATCCTGTGTGCCCACATGAAATGAGCATGGAGGGGGTTCAGGCTGGTTCCTAATGGACTGGCATTCATATAACACCCATTATAATTGTCAGCCCTATTGGCAATCGGAGCAGTCTCCAAGGACTGAATGAGCCACAGCAAGTTACTTCTTCTCTACCCCACAGTAGCAGTCCTTGCAGTTTATATTTGGGACATGTATGAAGAAGCCTGCACCTCTGCCCCCAACACTCCACCTGTTTTGTGGATAATTAGAGGGTTTGTAGGCTCAGTACCTTTCAAAAGGACACAATTTAGTTATAAAACCCCAGAACTCCTTTGTAGCAGCATTTGCTTCTTGCTTCTGCATTTATCAGTGACTAGAACAAAGAGCTCAGAAATCAAAAGATTATTCCCAAATAAAAAGCTAATTCAGCAGGAGTTATGCTGGAAAGTGTGTGATGGAGTCCCACCACACACTAAAACAGTATTTCTTACTTATATTCTACACCTTTCAAAAACCCAAACATTTGAGAGTCTGGAAAGGAACAGAAAAGAGACCCAGCCAATTCCACACAGCCCTTCATCACTCACTATCTGCCCACCTGCTTTACACCCACATGGCTCTAACTAGGAATGGGTGAACGGATGGCTCTAGGCTCTTGTCCTTTACTAGTCATTTTAAAATGTTCCTTGTTTTTACTGGATTTTGGATTGGTTTCTAACTCCTCCATGCAAGAGGGCTCAGTCTGTGGGCAGCCTTTTAAAAAGAGCATGTTAAAGGTCTGAGCACCGTGTATGTTCAAAACCACAAACTGTGACTCTATGGAACTGCAATCCTAACTGCATCTAGGCCAGGGGTCTCAAACTCAAATGACCACGAGGGCCACATGAGGACTAGTGCATTGGCCCGAAGGCCGCATCACTGACACCCCCCATTGCTGCCCCTGGCCCCGCCCCCACTCCACCCCTTCCATGAGGCCCCACCCCACCCCATCTCTTCTCCACCTCCTCCTCCAAGTGGTTTTAATAAAATATATACACTCAGTAAAGCCCCCCCCCCCCACTGCACTGGGCTGCACCACCACTCCACCCCTGCTCTGCCTCTTCCAGGGGTGGCAGGTTTGTAGAAATTTTGGTGGTGCCCAGAACCTGCCCCCCCCAAACTCCGCCCCCACCTGCCTAAGGCTCTGGGAGGGAGTTTGGATGGGGGAGGGAGTCTGGGGTGCAGACTCTGGGATGGAGTTTGGGTGCTGGGTGCAGGCTCCGGGCTGGGGCAGGGGGTGGGGGGTTCAGGCTCTGGGATGGAGTCTGGGGATAGGAGGGGGTGCAGGGGTGAGGGCTATGGGGCTGGGGATGAGGGGTTTGGGGCATTGGAGAGGCTCAGGGCATTGGAGAGGCTCAGGACTAGGGCAGAAGGGCAGGGGAAGGGCAGCCTGCCCTGGCCCTAGTGGAGCGGGGCACTAGGACCCTGCGGCAGCAGGTGATGCTGGAAACCGGCAGAAGAGAGCGGAGCAGAGCTGCAGACTTGGGGCGGTGAGGGGGCAGCAAGTGAGGCCGGGGGACACTCGGGGGAGGTGTGTGGGGGCGGCAGGCGGGGCCGGGGGAGAGACCCGGCCCCAAACATTGGGGAGCAGCGCCCGGGGAGCTTAGCTGCCACATAAAATAACTCGGGGGGGCGGGGAGTTTGGCGGCGACAGGAAGTAATGGGGGAGGCGGCGCGGGGAGCTTGGCGGGCCGCAGGGATGAGCTGCGCGGGCCGCGTGTTTCAGACCTCTGATCTAGGCTATGGGGGATCCTTCGGTGCCTCTTGGTGTCTGCTCCTTTCACCTGTCATTGGAGGTTCCTTCCTGCAGGCTCTCTCATATGCCAGGAGAGTGGCAGCTGCAGGCTTTGATGACAGTTTTCTTAAGGGGGAAGCCATCCTAACATCCCATCCCAAAGCCTGGACTGTGGTCCCATATTTTGATTGAAATAAGGCAGTTTCTGTGTCAGTATTGTTCTTAAGCCTCATGATCTTCCATGCTAAACTCAGCTGCACACCTCAGGTGTTCAGATGGCTGTGGGGACAATGCCTTTCATGACCTCCCCAATACTGCCTGCGGCTTTTGCTGAAAAGCTAAAGGACAGTCCCATTCACTCCAGAAGTGATCCAATGGGATCATATTCTGTATCCACCCATGCTGTGTGCTCAGTGAAGTTCCTCCACCAGAACAACTTACAGACCTTTCTACTGGAGGGTGGGTAGCGGTCACTTCCACAGCATTTGTTCATCCTGTGCTGATTGAGAGCTGTAAAGCTGCTACTTGGAGCTCAGCTAAAGCATTATTGTCTTGATGCTGTGTTAAGATCGGACTGGATCTTCTGTTGCTAGTGGAGATAGCCAACGCCTAGGGAGGACAGCATGCCAGTTTCTCTTACGGAAGCTGTTATGTGTCCTTTGTTCAAAAAACCAACACTTAACTTTGACACTCTGGCTGACAATTGCCCAGCATCTAATCTTCCAGTTCTGGTTAAGATTATAGACACAGAACACCTAGATGTCTCAGGTCTCTTTGACCCTTATCAATAAGGGCACAGAACAGAAACTGCTCCAGCAGAAATGATCTCACCCTAAGGATGGAAGGAGACTGGGTTTCCAGGCTGATAAGATTAAATCTACCAGCTGCTTTCAATACCATTGGTCCTAAGCTGCAGAATGTAACAGGAGCAGATGGGGTTGTTCTCTGGTGACTCCTTTCCCTCCAGAAGGTGGCTTTAGGAGACTTTTCTTCATCACTGAGGGCACTCATCTGGAGCCCAGCAAGCTCCCCGCGTGTCTTTACTTTTGTTCCACTTGTGTGCAAGGCCATTAGAAAAGTTAATGAGAGGATATGGGAGACCAGTGCTTTCAGTATGCTGACAGCCAGCAGTGCATCTGTCTGATTCAAATCAGCCACTGTTCTGTGATGTCTGGGTGAGATTGGGACTTCAATGAGAGCTAAGTGGCTGAAGCTCAGTCCAAATAAGACAGAGGTAATGTTTATTGGTTGGAGGAAACAACCAGAAGATACGGCAAGGATTGTATTAGCCACTGTGACTGAGGGTATATTGGATCCTAGCTCTTGCTAGATGATCATAATCATATAGCAGCAGCTTCTAGGAAGGCTCTTGTCCATCTTCATCTGTACTGAGGTTGTGCGTTTCTTTCAGATGAGGTCCTTGTTACCATTATTCATGCTGTTATCACCTCGGGATTAGAGTACTGCAATGCGCTGTACATGGGGCTTGGCCTTAAATCAACCCAGAAACTGAAGCCAGCGCACAATGCAGTGTATCTTGGCAACAGCACATGACATCAGTGCTCTGGGACCTCTACTGCCAGCCTATTGGTTTCCAGGTGGAGTCCAAAGAGTGGGTTTCACCCTTGGTTAAGATGGCCTTCTCAAAATAGTCACCATCTCAAATTGTTCTCAATAGGATTGAAACCATCAGCTGCCCTTACCAAAGATGGACACTTCTTCCCACTATTCCCAACTGGAGTGAAGCTATGCTGGAGGCAGAGAGGCGCAGCAGAATGCAGGGGTTGGCTATCTTTGCTAAAGGCAGCCTGTGGCTTCAGTCCCGATGAGAACAGGAGATGGCAGCCATTTTGAAAGAGGGCAATTCTTGGTAAGTTTTTCTAGAGCAGAACTTTATTCCTCAGCCTCTGCTGAAGGGGAAACTTTCAATTATGAGAAATAATGGATAAAGTTACTATTAATTCTACATATCTATATATTCATCTATCTGTATCTTCAAAAACAACTAATTATTGCGCCAGATTTTCTCAAGATTCACCTTTCTGCCAATTTCTCTGTTAATAGACAATGACTGAGCAGAGTCTAACAAGCCGCTAAAGTTCTTAAAGGACCGATTTTAAAATTAATTTTAATTCATAAACTAATTAACGGATTTATGTTTAACTTCTCTGAGAAGTCATTTGAAGTTCAAGGAGCAAGTGCTGTAATTGTGGGGAGGGTGCAGGGATGCTGTCATGCGTAATAAAAAAGCTGAATCCCTGTCATTGGTGGAAAAGTCAACCTTAACTACAGAGCTGTGGCCACCATCTCCATAATTCCTGTGTTCACTCAGTACGGTGTTCTCGCGTTAACAGTCACACACAGCGAGGAACTCACGGTATTTAGTACACTAGACTATAGCCTAGGCTAGGGAACAGCCACACAAATTATAAAAAAAAAAAAATCCCCAATAAAATAGTGAACTTAATTGCGTGACATCCCAACTGCCAGGGCCATACATGTTACTGCAGCAGAAAAGGTGTCACTATACCGGGCTCTCGTCAGGCGCCCTGGTCAGCAAAAGGAGAGGTTCTTCAGACTCCTTCAAGTCCTCCTCGCAGGTCATTGAAGTCAGTCTAGCCAGCAAGACCAGTGTTCATTCCACTTGGGTACTGCGCTCCTTCAGAGAAACAAGGGCTTGGCTGACAGGGCAGAGTAGGAGAATGGGAAGATGAGAGAATCACATGAAGCTCTTCAGCAGAGGGTGGAGCCTGCTCAGCAGCTCTGCTTGCAGCTCTGCGCTGCTCCTGCACTGCCTTCAGGCCCAGCTCGGTCCCTCTGCCAAAGAGCACATGTGACACAAGCAGAGGCGTTCCCATATGAGGCATCGCCACAGAGCTGGGGGCTCATCTGCATGGTCTGCCCCACCCTGGGTGGAAGGGCCTGCTCCTGTCCCCAGTGTGAGTGGCTGATTCAGCCCAATAGTGCAGTTTGTTCACATCAGAGAAGAGTCACGAATGATCAACCTGAGTGTGGATTTTCTATAGCACGTTGGGTTCCTGAGTGAGCGCAGGGACTAAGAGGGGAGGCTTTGCACCTCCCTGATGTGATGCTGGGGCAGGCAGAGGACAGAGGGGCCACAGTAGCAGGTTAGAGCAGCCTGCGGACAGCCCTAGCTTGCCCTCCCTACCTCCCACTGCCATAGTCCCTATGGGCATCACTGTAGCCAGGGCCGGCTCCAGGCACCAGCTGAGCAAGCTGGTGCTTGGGGCGGCAGACTGTTCGAGGCGGTGTTCTGCCCAATCCTAGGAAGGCACGGCCGCTTTTGTTTGTTTGTTTGTTTGTTCTGCTCCGGCTGCCCTGTAGGGGGCGGCGGCGCAGAGAACCAGAGCGCCCAGCAGGGCAGTCCTCTTCCTTCCCTCCCCGCCGACTGGAGCGGAGCCCTCAGGGCAGGCGGCAGCGCAGCGGGAGGGGCTGCGTGGCAGCGCCCCTGCTTTAGCCCTGGCAGCCCCCTTCTCTCTCTCTCTCTCCCGCCCGCTCCCCCCAGCCCCAGCCGGTCCCCCTGCACCCGCGCTCCGGCCGCGCCGCAGGTTTGTTTGTTTGTTTGTTTTTTTGCTTTGCCGTTCTGGCCGCCCCGTTTTTTTTTTTTTTTGCTTGGGGCGGCCAAAAAGCCAGAGCCGGCCCTGACTGTAGCAGGGGATCCCTGGGGTGCAGGCCTGTCTCTTCCTGCCCTCGATCTGCCCTGAAACATCCCCTGTACCAGAAGAATCTATGGGGTTGGCACTGAGCCCCTGGTGCAATTCACCCAGGAGAGCCATGCAGCCCCTTGGTGCCAGCCCAGCTTCACCCTACTCTGCACACACAGCAGGTGCAAAGCGACTGCACAGGGGAGGAGAAGGAGCCTCCTTGGTTGAGTCCTCTTGAGCCTGCCTCTCTCTATTTTCAAGAAAACCAGGAAGTTCAAACACAAAAGACACTTTGTGAAAAACAGTTCAGGTGGCTGAGAGACAGCGATGCAAAACCCAAACGCACAACGCCAGGAAACACAGCACAAAGCCATTCACCTACATCCCTCCTCTTCTCTCTCTCTCACTCACACACTGCCCATTCCCCAAGCTGACCAGTCCTACTCAGCTACTGTCGCCACAGTCAGACCCTTAACTCTACCCTCCGTGGAGTGCCACGAAACAATGCTTACATCTCCCGGACAAAAAGCTACATAAAGAAATATGCATGGCAGAGATTAGTACATGCACCCTGCTCAGGACACATGACCAAAGGAGCCCCAGTGACATCAGTCTAAAACTATTCATTACACCCAAAAAATTCTACATAACAGCTGGAGTTTACAAGTCCTCTCATATGCTACCTGTCACCATTTACAAACAAAGTCACAGCACACAAACACTGCAATCTGTGCAATTACGATTTACCAAATTGCAGAACCCATCAAAAAGACTGAGATGTAATATTGCTCCACATAAACAAATATGCTACCCCACAAAATCAAAATAACTTGGTTGGTAGCCTACAACTGTGAGCTGAAAGTTCAATGTCTTAATATAACAATGTCAACTCCAAAATACTGCCACATTCACACCTACTTCCACATACACTCTTATCATTGTGTAGATTTCCCATCTTAAATTCATACTGAACACATTCAAAATAAATGTTTATTTAAAAAAAATTTCATTAGGTGACACCTCTATTGGGAAAAATACTGGTAACATATTCTAGTTCACAATATTAAGATTACAAACAAAAGGACATATTAGTTGTGATCCTAAACGGAAATAACCCAGATTCAAGCTACCCATGAGAAATACAGATTAATCCCATAGGAACACTGGCATTAAACAGGCCCTGTCTACAGGTGTGTTTTGATTTTGTAAACACTTCCCTTCTGGGCTTACAGATGGCAGAGTTAAGGGTATCTGGGTGGCTTGTGAGTGTGGATGAGTAGAGCAGCTTTTCTCTGGAAATGGATGCTATCTGGGAACAGGGATGTGTGGGGCTGATGTACCCAGGTATATGGCAGTACACTGCGTTGTGTGTGTTCCAGTTTTGCACTGTTGTCCCTTAGCGACTTGCTCTCCTTGATGTTACCTTAACATTGCACACAACCCCTTAGCAACTTGTTTTTTACCCCTGTGACCTGTGTCCATGGGGACACCCCTGGGTGAGTCACCACAGCAGGGACTGACCCTGAAATCTCTGATTCCACAAGCATGAGCTGCTGCTCCCTGAGCTAAAAGACCCCACTGCTTGGCCAGGCTACAGCTCCTTAGCCTGCACCTCCATCTCAGCCAGGCTGAGGGGACAGAGCCTCAAGAGTGGGGGTGGGTCACAGACCTCTGAACTAAGGTGGGAACCAGAGAGGTTCCCTCCTGGTGCCAGGCCAGCCCAGGGACCTGGGGCACTAGCACAGCTAGGCTGGGCACCTCGCTGGCTCCCTGGGCTGCTATAGACTGGGAGCCAGGCCAGAAGGGGGGCAGCCGCAACAAGGGGTAGGTCCCTGCCAGCCGCCAGGACCCAGAACCGCGGAGGGGAAAGGGCTGCTCCTGGGACCCCATCCATCCGCCTCCGCGCTGGGGCTCCCCGCGGCCCCCTTACCTCCTCCACCAGGGCGGCGAAGTGCTCCAGGGAGGAGGCGGGCAGGTCCCCGTAGAGCAGTTCCCCGGGGCCGGGCGGGGCGCTCAGCGGCCCGGGACCCCTGCGCAGGAAGAACAGCGCCTTGCTGCGGCCGGGGCTGGCGGGGAGCTGGGTGCTGAGCGCCAGCTGCCCCGCCGGGCTCAGCGTCACCAGCAGCAGCGGCGGCTGCCCCGCGGCGCCCTCCAAGAAGCCCCGCAGCAGGGGCTGCGCCTCGGGGCTGCCCGCACAGCGCTCCCAGCGCTCCGGCTTCAGCCGCAGGCTCCGCACCACGCGCTCCCCGAGCAGCCGGACGCGGGGATCCGAGCCGGGGGCGTCCTCCGCGGGGGACCCCTCCTCCTCCTCCGGGCCGGCCATGGCGCTGCAGGCAGGACACCCCGGAGCGGGGGCTGCGCTCGGGTCCCGGAGCTGGGGGCTACGCTCGGGCACGGTCCGGGGAGGGGGCTGCGCTCGGGCTCGGTCCGGAGAGGGGGCTGCGCTGGGAGCTGCGCTCGAGTCCCGGAGCTGGGGGCTGCGCACGGTCCGGGGAGAGGGCTGCGCTGCGGGCCCGGGGCTGCGCTTGATGCTCCGCGGAGGCTCCTTGGCGACCGTGTGTACAGGGCGGAGCTGCGGTTGCTCTGGGGACCGGACGCGGCTCCTCCCCACCCTGAGGCAGCCGCCGGGGCCGCTCCGGTTCCCTCCGGCTGGGGAGCCTTGAGCGGCAGGAGGTGGAAGCTTGTGGCTCCCCCCGGGTGGGTGTTTCGTGATGTGTGCGAGGGGGGGATAGCTCAGTGGTTTGAGCATTGGCCTGCTAAACCCAGGATTGTGAGCTCAATCCTTGAGGGGGCCATTTAGGGCCCTGGGGAGTGTAGGGGGTTGGACTAGATGACCTCCTGAGGTCCCTTCCAACCCTGATATTCTATGATTCTATGACTGTGGCACATGCCACCCCCTGCTGGCCCCGGGCCCCAGAGGCGTGCCTGTGCTGTGTCCTAGTGCCATCACTCTGCCAGTCACCTGCACCTGGGGTTTGACTTGTCTGTCCCAGCATGACCAGATGTCCTGATTTCATAGGGTCAGTCCCAATATTTGGGGCTTTTTCATATATAGGCACCTATTGCCCTCCCACCCGGTCCCAATTTTTCACACTTGCTATCTGGTCACCCTAAGTGTGCATAGGCACTAGAACTGGGGTGCTGGAACTAGAAGGGGGGACCGCCACAGCCTCTGGCTTGAAGTAGTTTTCATCATATCCAGGGTTTACAATTTGGTTCACTGGTGCACGTGCACACACACACACACTCTCTCTCTCTCTCTCTCTCCAGTACTCCTGCCAGTGTGGGGGGCTGGTGAGTTCTGTGGGGTTCCATGGCCTGCCCTGCCGGCTACAGCTTTGGAGGTGACACAAAGGAATGGACTGTGCTTGCACTTGGATTTCAACCTGTGGTCCATGAACCCTGGGGGTCTGCAGACTAATTTCCCAAAGGGGTCTGCAAATGAAACAAGGTTGAACCCCCTTGCTCTACTGCTTTGTGCCTGAGGGAGCGTTTGCAGCATTGGGATGTCACCAGAAGCTGAACGTCCTTCCAAGGGGGTTGACTGGAAGGGGGAATTGGCCTGGTTCTGCTGGGCAGCATTGGTGCTAGAGTTCCTCTGCACAGCTTTGTTTGCAGAACTGCAGGGACAGGGTTTCTGTCAGGGTTCGTCCCAGGTAGTGCAAACCCCAAGATCACATTCCTGCCTTCTAGCAGAGTGGGCTGCATGCGGCTGGGCAATAGTTTTAGCAATTTCTTGTGCAGGAGGCAGTGTTTTCTTTGTGGCATAGAAGCCTGCAGAGCTTTTTCTTGTGCTTTGAGAGCCAGTCTGACGCTCCCTGCTGCATTTATTGTGACCTACTGGGAAGGTGTGTGTGACGGGTTCAGTCAGAGATCCCCGTTGGGACTGTTACCTGATGTGCTGAAATTACCTCTGAGCCCGTTTTCCCTGCCAGCTTGGGACTTCCAGAACCCTGCCTTTTGAGCCAGACATGCTAGCCTGCTGCAACACAGACTCAGGGTCTGAATCACACCCCCAAAGCTGCAGGCTTTAAGTGAAAACTGCTCAGCAGGTTACCTACCTCCAGCACCCAGTTCCCAATGGGATCCAAACCTCAAATAAATCTGTTTTACTCTGTATAACGCTTATACAGGGTAAACTCATAAATTGTCCACCCTCTATAACACTGATAGAGAGATATGCACAGCTGTTTGCTCCCCCAGGTATTAATCACTTACTCTGGGCATATTAATAAACAAAAGTTATTTTATTAAGTATAAAAAGTAGGATTTAAGTGGTTTCAAGTAATAACAGACAGAACAAAGTAAGTCACCAAGCAAAATAAAACAAAACACGCAAGTCTAAGCCTAATACATTAAGAAACTAATTACAGGTAAGATCTCACCCTGAGAGATATTCCAATAAACTTATTTCACAGACTAGACTCCTTCCTAGTCTGGGCCCAATCCTTTCCCCTGGTACAGTCCTTGTTAGTTCTAGCAGACATCTTAGGTGGTAAAAGGGGGTATTCTCATGACTGGGACCCTTTGTCCTGCTCCACCCCCTTTTATAGCTTTGACACAAGGCGGGAATCTTTTGTCTCTCCAGGTCCCCACCCCTCCATCTAAATGGAAAAGTACCAGATTTAAGATGGATTCCAGTATCAGGTGACATGGTCACATGTCCTGTGAGATCCCAGCCTCCATTCTTCCTGGGCTGGCCCACAGGTACACAGGAAGGTTTTCAGGTAAACAGAGCCATTTACAGTTCATTGATTCTGAAGCACCCTTAATGGCTTCCACTTAATATGTTTACATCAGTAATACAAGTTTATATCTTATTCTCCTAACTCCAGGCATAGAAATAATACATGCAAACAAATAGGATTAACATACTCAGTAGATTATAGGCTTTGTAGTGATACCTTACAAGAGACCTTTTGCATAAAGCATATTCCATTTACATCATATTCACACTCATAAGCATATTTTCATAAAGAATATGGAGTGCAATGTCACAGTGTGTTCAGTCTCCATGGCTCTGCAGCACAGTTCTACCCTTGTTTGGTTGATCTGGGGCTCATTCGGAAATGTCTGAGTTCTAGGTTTTCCCAGACTAACCTGTAGGGTCTGGGTATGACAGTGAGTTTCTCTGGGCTGGCTGGCTAGATAGCATGGCCAGATCAGCCACACATAGCAGCACTTTATCTCAGAGTTGTGCAGTGGGACTCCTAGCTTTGGGGGACTGTTCCAGTAGGGCTGGCAGGTCATAGAATCATAGAAGATTAGGGTTGGAAGGGACCTCAGGAGGTCATCTAGTCCAACCCCCTGCTCAAAGCAGGACCAATCCCCAGACAGATTTTTACCCCAGATCCCTAAGTGGCCCCCTCAAGGATTGAACTCACAACCCTAGGTTTAGCAGGCCAATGCTCAAACCACTGAGCTATCCCTCCCCCCAAAGGTCACCCATGTGTAGATCAAAGAGAATGGAGCGGAGATTCCTCCTTTATTCCCCTTTCTTGCTTGAAAGGCCTCCATTAGCCTACTGTTTATTTTTAGCCTGCATTGGATGCATGGCACATGATTTAATGGCCTATGTTTTCCCACCAGTTCCATTTTGTAGCAATTGAAGATTCCATCCTGGGTGCCTGACTGAGCCAAAGGCTTTTCTTGGCCCCCGGAAGCAAGCCAGCATCTCCCCTGGGTTTTTTGTTTTTTTTTTTAAACATGTTTTTACATGTTTGGTTAAAAGGTAGGAATAAATGGTCAGTTTTCAGAATAGAGAGGGGTAAATAGTGGTGTCCCCCAGGGGTCTGTACTGGGACCAGTCTTATTCAACATATTCACAAATGATCTGGAAAAAGGGGTAAATAGTGAGGTGGCAAAATGTGCAGATGTTACAAAACTACTCAAGATAGTTAAGTCCCGGGCAGACTGCAAAGAGCTACATAAGGATCTCTCGAAACTGGGTGACTGGGCAACATAATAGCAGATGAAATTCAATGTTGATAAATGCAAAGTAATGCAGATTGGAAAACATAATCCCAACTATACATATAAAATGATGGGGTCTAAATTAGCTGTTACCACTCAAGAGACAGATCTTGGAGTCATTGTGGATAGTTCTCTGAAAACATCCACTCAATGTGCAGTGGCAGTCAAAAAAGCAAACAGAATGTTGGGAATCATTAAGGGATAGATAATAAGACAGAAAATATCTTGCTGCCTCTATATAAATCCATAGTATGCCCACATCTTGAATACTGCATGCAGATGTGGTCTCCCCAGCTCGAAAAAGATGTATTAGAATTGGAAAAGGTTCAGAAAAGGGCACTAAAAATTATTAGGGGTATAGAATGGCTGCCATATGAGAGAGATTAATAAAACTGGGACTTTTCAGCTTGGAAAAGAAATGAATAAGGGGGATATGATAGAGGTCTATAAAATCATGACTGGTGCAGAGAAAGTAAACAAGGAAGTGTTATTTACTCATAACACAAGAACTAGGGGTTAACAAATGAAATTAATAGGCAGCAGGTTTAAAACAAAAGGAAGTATTTTTTTCACACTACACACAGTCAACCTGTGGAACTCCTTGTCAGAGGATGTTGTGAAGTCTAAGAGTATAACAGGGTTCAAAAAAGAACTAGATAAATTCATGGAGAATAGGTCCATCAATGGCTATTAGCCAGGATGGGCAGGGATGGTGTCCCTAGCCTGTTTGCCAGAAGCTGGGAATGGGTGACAGGATGGATCACTTGATGATTACTTATGCTGTTCATTCCCTCAGGGGCTCCTGGCACTGGCAACTGTCAATATGAGCTAGCATGCGTCTATCTACCCCAGGCTGATCTTCCTCCTCCCAGAGGCCGACGTGGTTAGTGCAAGGAGGGTGGTTCTGGGCTCCTTGGGGCCACAGACAGGGAGGTGAAAATGAACAGGCTCTGTCTTTATGCTGTTTTCACACCCACCCACCCACCTACCCCTACCTCTCTTCAGATCCACAGCACAGCCACCTCCTGCACTAACAGCATATGCGGTTAGGGTTAGAGGCAGGGACTCTGGGTTTGCAGAGTGGGTAGCACATAGGGTGACCAGATCACCACACTAAAATATCGGGATACATTGGGGTGCCATCAGCCCCATCCACAGTCCACCCCCGCTCCTCCCAGGCTCTGGCCCCCCGCTTGCCTCTTCACCCTCCCCGCCCGCCACTCACCCCTATGGCACCAACTTCCCCTCTGCTGGGTGGGTGCTCGCCTCTTCCTGCCCTCGCCCCGCCCCGCCCCCATTCCACTCCCTTCCCCCAAGTCCCCATCCCTGTCCTGCCTCTTCTCCACCTCC